TCACTTAATTTTCACATTTCAATTATATAAATTAGTTTAAAGAACATTTTGTTTTTCAGGTATGGTGCAAACAACAAACCGACATACTGCCGCGAATTTGAAGGAGGAAATTTTAAAATGTCTTGAAGAATATAATATTCGTATAAACCAAATTTATTCATATACCACCGACAATGCAGCCAGTGTATTAAAGCTGTCGAGATTATTGCAAGGAGTGCATCACGATATTATAGACAATGAGATGGTCGACATTGACGTTGCCGAGTGCAATCTGGTTGAATCGAATGTCGCGTCGGTTTTTTCCGTTGTGCGTTGCGTAGCACATGCAATTCAATTAGCGGCTGATGATGTAATAAAAACACTCGAAAACGACATTGAAGAATGTAGAATAATAGCTAAGAAAGTTCGAACCTTAGTGACATCGGAAAACGATGAAATCAGGTTACCATGCTTAGATGTCATAACAAGATGGAATTCAACTTACAATATGATATGCGAAATTCTTTCGCTTAAAGAATTCATTGAAAACTTGGACAATTATAACAGCTTTGACATAAATTGGATATTCATCCAAAATTTTGTAATGGCATTTGCGCCATTGGCAAAATGCACTTTAAAACTTCAAAAGGAACAATATATATTGGGAGACTTTCTTCGCGATTGGCTAGCATGCGAGTTGGAATTGGAAGAATTAGCTTCTCTAAACCAATACGCATTAGCTCTCCTAAATGCGATGAGGAACATAAAAGATATACTTTTGAAGCATGATGCCTTTGCAGCCGCAATATATCTTGATCCGCGCTATAATATCAATGGTACACCTTTTCTTACTGAAGATTGTAAGAAACGCGCAATGGTATGAAAGACTAAATACCGCACAATTTCAACAAAACGTGTACATAGCAAAATTTACTTGTTCTATAAAATAATAATTTTTTTACACATTCAAACATAGCCACATATATAGTTACCTAAATTTAGAAAGGTTTTAACTATATTTTTTGAATTCGATTTCTTTGCATATCTTTCGCAAATTTTTGTGGAAAATGCTGAAAAAATTACTATTGTAATAAAAAATTTAGTTTTTATTAATAAAAAAATGGTTTAGAAAAAACTAGGAACTAAGGAACTTAAATTTTTTAAGTTTAAGGAAGTAGAGCCTCTCTATATTATGGCAATAAAATACATACACTGGCGGCAGAAATAATAGACTCGTCGTACTTTTAAGAATTTTGGCTATGTTTCTTTAGTTTATTTTATGTTTAATATTTTTTTTATAAAAACCTAGGTAGTTATACAACAAACATCATATAAATCCTTAAGATAAATCTTTAAGATTTTTTTTGACGGTGTTACGGATTTTTTCTTATATATATTTCCTAGCCACTTGAAACTTGAACTTTATAATACTACAATTGAATGAGATATAAGACTGCATACCAAAAATGTTTCTAAAAATTCTGAGTGAAAAGTTTGAAAATTCGTCGAATTTTTATAATTTTGGTTCAAAGTTTTAAAAGCGGATTTATATGATGTTTGTTGTAGGCTTTTATAAAAAATATTAAACATAAAACAAACTAAAGAAATATAGGCAAAATTCATAAAAGTACGACGAGTCTAATATTTCTGCCGCCAGTGTATGTACATGCATTTTGAAATTTTGTTAGTTTAGTTGAAATTGTGCGATATATATATATATATATATATATATATATATATATATATATATTACACACTTACATGGTTTATGCTTTAGATTTTCAATAATTTCTTTTTAAAGGATCATTTGCTTAAAGTATATGAAATGGTGAAGCATTTGGAGAGTGATTCGTATGAGCAGGAATTTATTAAATGTTCCAATTCATCAAGTTCCAGTTCCCAAGACGACATTCCCACTTCGTCAGCGAGTGCTTACGATAAGCTGGATCTTCACGTCCAAAATTTAATGAACACACAAAAGTTATCATCTCAAGGCCTGGCAGCGAGCACTAAACTGAAACTAATGAGACGTTGTGAAGGAGAAAGATTGTCCTTTGGTACCAATATACTTGAGTACACCGCTGCGGAAGAGGTGAGAGAGAGTGCCGCGCGGCTGCTGCAGAAAAATACGCAGCATACAAAGCTACCCTTCAGCCAATGGCGACACGCGCGACAATTGAGCGTTACCGGGAGAAAAGGAGGGAAGAGAGACGCCTTTTCAAGAGAAAGAAAAGAGATGCAGAAAGGCGTGAGTGCAAAGAGCTTGAGATGATGGCAGACAGGAACGCGGCTCGAAAATTCTATCAGAAAATAAGGCAGCAATCAAATGGTTTTAAGACCGGGGCTAGCTCCTGCAAAGATGAAGATGGAAACCTGGTAACAGATGTCCATAGTACACTTGAGATATGGAGGGAACACTTTTCATTGCTTTTAAATGGCGAAACAGATGGCGCGTTTGATGAAGGAGAACCCGAACCAATGTATAGGGACGAAGCTCACGTCCCTCAACTGGACCAAGACGAGGTGAGAACAGCAATAAAGCGGCTTAAGAACAACAAAGCCCCCGGAGCCGACGGTATACCGGCTGAGCTGTTCAAAGCCGGTGGCGAAGAGTTGGTGGGGCGTATGTACCAGCTTTTAAGCAGAATTTGGTCTGATGAATACATGCCCGAAGAATGGAATCTCAGTGTACTTTGCCCAATCCACAAGAAGGGAGATCCCGCCGTTTGCGCCAATTATCGCGGAATAAGCCTTCTTAATATTGCATACAAGGTCCTGTCGACGATACTGTGTGAAAGACTGAAGCCGTTCACGAACCAGCTGATTGGACCTAATCAGTGTGGCTTCAGACCTGGTAAGTCCACCATTGACCAGATTTGCACAGCACGTCAAATCCTGGAGAAGACACTAGATAAGCAAATCGACACACACCATCTTTTTGTTGACTTTAAAGCTGCTTTTGATAGCACGAAGAGCAGCTGCCTGTACGACGCCAGGTCCAAATTTGGGATCCCCGCAAAACTAATACGGCTATGTAGAGTGACGTTGAGCACAACCTTCTGCTCCGTCCAAATTGGGAAGGACCTCTCCGCGCCGTTTGAGACCAAACGAGGTTTTAGACAAGGCGAATCACTCTCGTGCGACCTTTTCAATCTGATGCTGGAAAGCGTAATAAGAGCTGCCAATCTGAATCGCAACGGCACCATATATAGCAAAAGAACGATGCTGCTGGCGTATGCAGATGATATCGATATCGTAGGTCTGAAACAAAGGGACGTAACCGCAGCATTTTCCAGTTTAGAAAAAGAAGCTAAAGAGGTTGGTCTAGCGGTGAACGAGGGAAAGACAAAGTACCTCCTGGCAACACATAAACAGTCCACGCGCTACGGGACACACGTCACTGTTGGCAGATATAACTTTGAAGTAGTGAATGACTTTGTCTACCTATGATCCAGCATAAACACCACCAACAACGTCAGCCTGGAGATCAAGCGAAGAATAACTCTTGCCAACAGGTGCTACTTTGGGCTCGGTAGGCAATTGAAAAGCAGAGCCCTCTCTCGACGAACGAAACTCACGCTCTACAAATCTCTCATCATGCCCGTCCTTTTATATGGCGCAGAATCTTGGACGATGTCGAACAAAGATGAGAAGGCTTTGGGGGCTTTCGAGAGAACTATTCTACGCAAAATCTACGGCCCTGTTTTCGTGGATGGCGGATATCGGAGAAGATGGAATGAGGAACTGTATGAGCTTTTTAACGACAAGGACATAGTTAAGCGCATAAAAATACAGCGATTGCGTTGGCTTGGACATGTTGTACGCATGGATGACGACTCTCCGGTGAAAAGATCCTTCGACTCCGCACCCATGGGTGGACAACGAAAGCAGGGGCGCCCACGAACGCATTGGAAGGACCAAGTGCAGAAGGACCTGTCTGCGCTCGGGATAACCAACTGGCGCAAATTCGCGCAGGAGAGAAGCAACTGGAAAAGCTTTTTGGTCTCGGCCCAAACCGACAAACGGTTGTAGTGCCAAATAAGAAGAAGAAGTACTTGAGTATTGGCGAAAATCGTGTGACAGAGAAAAGGAATTGACGCTAATTGTAGAAACTATATTAGCCCTGCCTGCCACTCAGGTTTCTGTGGAGCGTTCATTTAGCGCATTATCTACAGTATTAACAAATTTAAAGTCAAAGCTTTCAAAAAAATCTCTTTCTAATTTAGTCATAGTAAAGTTAAATTATGAGCTCCTAAATTTTTCAAATCTTAATCTTGATGATAATACAATAGCAAATCATTTTGCTTTCACCCATGTATGAATATTCATTTATATATATTTATGTACATATGTATACGAACACATAAGACCAACATAATATAAACGCGAATTTTGACAAGTTTCTACTATTTTGCTTTTGTTTCTTTAATGTTTATTAATTTTCATGGAATAGTCAGTATGGCGCACACCGAAGCAACACTAGAACATTTAGTGGGCGTCGGTTTCCCCGGGTGAGACAATACAGCTAATACGGTCAGTCTTGTGAGAGAAACCTCTAAGGTTCCTTCTTTAGTTATCCAGATAAATCCTAAAACAACCTTTGGAGGCGAGTTCCTTATTATATATTTAAAATGAACTTATCGTTGGCTAAAGCCAATCCTCGCATTCAAGGTAGAGTCTATATATTGACTTTATGCTCTCAACAATTCCCCAGTGTAGTAATTGCTGCCTTGTGAGCAGAACCACGCAAAGTTGTCTTGGGCTCCTCTGTGACCTGGTACCTTTTTGTTACCGTTTTCGTATCAATGTAGATCTCTATGATAAAAAAATGCATCCATATCCGCAGTTGGGCAAGATTTCGCCGATACAGTGACGGAATGGCATGCCGTTTTTTCAAAAAATGTATCAAAATTGGAGTCGAATTTAACCTTTATGGAACCTTATTCCTAAATATTTGACCTCATCAGAGGATTTAAGCGCTGTGCCTCCAAGAAGGAACATGTAATTGTAAGGCACGAGAAAAGCTTCTTTCGGTTTACTGCTGAGGCCCTCTTTGTTCAACCAGTTTGAGAGCACACGAAGTGCTGCACTCGCAATGTCCGTGATATTAGTGCTGAATTTTCCCGTACTAAAATTTCCTAGTCATCTGCGTACCTAGATGCATTATAAACACACATGATAAAGAGCTATGGATGCAAAAAAAACATCGATGCATCGGAAACATCGATGTTTGCTATTCGATGTATCGAATAAAACCGATGTTTTGGACCTTCCGATATACATCGATATATCGATGTATTTTTTTTTCGATGCATCGACTTTTGTGTGTACATACTAAAATTATTTTGTGTGCTTCCAAACTCTAGCAACTATTGTAAATGTGGGATTTCACTATTTATGCACTATTTATTAGAATATACTATCCAAAATATTATTGCACTAATATATTGCTACTTTTTTAGTAGAAACGTTTAGTTTGATAAGATATTTACACTCTAAAACCATTTGGAAATTTGGACAGATTTTAAACAGCAATTTCCAAAATTGCTTAACATAGCTTACCAACATAGTGAAGTAATATAAAGTATGCCAGCCAGTTTTATGTAAGCTTATTTCAGAGCAAAATTTTAGTTTCGTAATTTTCGGTTTTTCAATTCTGGCATTAACCCTTGGTTTTGTTGCATACCTCTGCCCGATTTCGGCTTAGATCCTTATCCTGAAGGACTGAAAACCTCAGTACTGCAAAATTATGTGTGCTTTTGCACAAGCGGCAAGAATTTATTGGCATGCTGTTTTATTTTTTACTCAAATCAACAAACTTCATAATTCCTCACTCAAAAGGGTTAACATGAAAGTCAATTGAAGGGAAAAATGATGATAATAAATTTCCAAAGAAGTATACCGAAATAGAATGTCATTACTAGCTGGCACACTATATTAGTGGGATTCAAATGTCGCATTTGCCGCAAAATTTGCCACCTTGCGACGCAGCTGATTACTTTTGTATGGGAACTTTCTTGCGAAAAAATTTCGACATAGCCATAGTATTTCAGCTGGCAATAATTGCAAAGTCAAAGTCGCGAAACACATGTTTTTTTATTGTCTTCAAATACTTGAAGAAAAAGTATATCAGTTAAGGCTGCTTCGAAATATAATTGTAAAAACTTTTCTTTTTCTCTAACGCGCGGCATTTTAAAAAAATTTTACATTTGCAATCCGGAGTTGCGATAGGTCATTCATACCACTTTGTTCACAACATTGCCATTTCGCCAAAAATTCCACTTTGCGACGTTTTATGAATCGCACTAATATTTCATTATGCTTATAAACATTTAACAATTGTCGCCAATTCCGTACCTTCCAACAATTTTTCCCGAAGGCTTCTCAAAAGAACAGAAAAAACTCTTTAAATCAATTAATAAATTTCACTGTGAGTTATACATTTATCGAAGTTACGATTGTTTCATTTTCTTGTTGTATATTTTTAATTGAAATAAACTGTTGAAATTTTCATTCGATACATCGATATCCATCGATGCTATATTTCGATGTATCGAATCGAAAAAAAACATCGATGTATTTTTTTGACTGCATCCCTATAAAGCGCCCGTCTACCATGGAAACCAAAGGAAAGGAGAATAATACCTCTGTTCTCCGTGAGAGTTCTGCTCAAAAACGATGTGGTTTTCGCGCTCGCGTCGATGAAGCCAACAGTGAAATTGTACGTGCATTATTGAACCAATAATCTAGAAATAAAACCATCGGAAGCATTTTCGAAAGCCTCCTCGAGAAGTATGTACCTTCCTCCCATGGTGAAATGAACTGAAGTTGGCGCATTCCCGAAACCGCTACTTTGGTTTTGCCGACTTTGACATTTATGGCGATACGTAAACAAACTTTTTATTTAGAAACAAGTGCAAACGTATTGCCAGCGTATTGTGTACTTTCAAGTGAAAAATCGAAGTAATTCGTGTGTACTGAAGTAAAAAATGTCTTATTTGTAATAAAAACTTTATAAAAATATCGTGTCGTGTGTTGAATTTCAGTAGCCGTAGGGATAAACCCCCAAATGCAGTTTTTTTCTTGTTTCCCCGCGACGACGCCTTGGCCTGAAAGTGGGTAGAGTTCTGTCGGCAGGAGAAGCCATAAAATTTAGACACCAGCGTAATATGCATGAAGCACTTTACGGACCATTTTTAAACACGACATGTTAAGTCGAAAACGTTGAAATACCACAAATTACAAATTAAAATCGGAGGTAAGCAAGCATCGACCACTTTCTGCAGGAAAACATGCGCTGCGACAAGATATTATCACTTTTTCGGCACCTGCAATACAAACACAAAAATTCTAAATAGTTAATTAATAAGACCTATTCTTTTGAACACATTTCAAGAGTGGTTGTATATTTTTTGTTAACGTAGTGCTTAATTTGCTATATTCAAAGATGGCTTGAGAAAGTGGTGAATCGAGAAGAAAACACGTTTTCTCACTGCAAATTCACAACTGTCAACTCATTGTTCTTCGCCATATTCTTTGTTTACCTGTTGCCACAAATGTCATTCTGCGGGAATGCGCAATCTTGTATTCTATCGTTCTTGCCTTCCTCCAAGTATACGTGATATCACACCCTAAATCAAAAACCGTCACAACTAAAAAAATCCCAAATGTTCAGTAGAGGCAAACAAATGTTGATAGTGCGCAACCGACGCACAGTAGGCCGCCTCATACAAGTTAGCCGGAAAAAAATATTTTATTGCTTCAGATGGATCGATTAGATGACACAAGAGGTCCTTTGAGGAGGGTTTGTAGCAAAACTGGTATATTGAAGGTATCTATATATACATAAATACGCCACAACAAAATTTTGAACACCCATTTTGGAGGGCAGAAATGTTAACCCCATTATACAGGGGGCGTGGCATCTGACATACAGACTAAAATGTGAAAACTGATGTATCTCTAAAACCAATCACGCTGGTGAACTGAAACTTGGTACGGATGCATACATTGTAAATACTCTACTTCCGGCGAAAAATGACAGGTATCGGAAAAGGGAGCGTGGCACTTCCAATACAAACTGAAATTCTAATATCGCTTATCTCTGGAACCGCTTATGCTAACGTTCTGCAATTTAACACAGCTACATATGTTATCAATTCCGTACTTATGGCGAAAAGTGGTGGATAATGGAACATGGGACTGAAATTCTTAATCGCTTATCTCTGGAACCGCTTTTGCTAACATCCTGAATTTTGAAACAGCTACATATGCTAACAATACCGTACTTATGGAGGTTTTGAAAAAGGGGGCGTGGCATCTCCCATACAAACCGAATTTTAAATATCGCTTATCTATGGAACCGCTTTTGCTAACGTACTTATGGCGAAAAGTGGTTTGTATTGGAAAGGAGGATGTGGCACCTTCCATACAAAATGCAATTTCCATATCGCTTATCTCTGGATCTACTTATGATAAAGTTATGGATACACCTACATCTACAAATAAGAAAATGGCAAGAATCATTCAATTGGGAAGAATTTTCTCCCAGATTTCAAAATCGCATTGAGTGATTGTTATTTTGTGGAAAAGTTTTCAGAAAGATTTTTCTTCCGATAAGGGGCTCAGGGATTGAGATCTATCCTAAAGAATCCTATTTATGGTCACATTTGCTTCATCTTTTGAATACTTGGTACCCAAACGTATGACCACCTTCGAGGTACTTTCTTAACTTCTACCGATTCTTATGAAGAGAAAGAGGGTTTTACGTTGGAAATATAGTTTTTAGCCTTCAGAGCCCTGAGACCAATATAATCGAAAAAACGTATTTACAGGTTAAATTTATGTTAAAGATTTACACTGCAAAGAAAACACTATTTCAAGTTTGAATGTAAAATTGTTTAATATATTCAATTATTTTTTAATGAATATATAACTAATAACTTACATATTTGTTTTTTATAGATATTTTTTGAGTTATGTCTGCGAAATGTCACTGCTTCATCAGTCGCAACTCTTGGGTAATTATGACAATTTTTTCGTACAGACTCAGCTTGATATAATATGGAATTTGACACTGTTGCATGGTCGTGCAAAGTCTGGCTTAAGCAGTATCTAAAAGTAGGAATAATGGAGAGTCTCACAAAAAAATTTAAGGAAAGTACATGACAGAACAGTGTTTAGATTGTCAAAAAAGGTTCGACTTTGTTCATATTTTTTGACGAAAAAACGCCTCATTTTGACACATTACTCAAGCTACGTCCCTGACCACATATTAATTGTTTTTATTTCATAAAAAAGAGCATCGTTTTGTATGCCAAATACATTCTTTTCAGTGTTTTGGCACACCACTGTGATAGACAACACACCACTTTTTAAAAATGTCTATTTGATTTGTGTAATTTGTAGAAAACAAAGTTTCAAAACATCAAATTTGACCTACAAAAAACTACTTAAGTGGGCTTTAAAACACCAAAGGATAATTTTTTCTATGTAATTGGACATTTCTTAACAAGTTGGAATTATTAAATCATCAAAATTCTATTTTGATTTTTTTCCGGCTAATGGCGTCATATGGCCCATTGTGCGACGCACAGTGTTTCGACTATACGGAGGCAGGTGAAAAAAGCCATAGTGACAGTTGATACAAAAATCTGCGAACGGTACATCTCCAAAAAAAAAAAGATACTAGGAGTGGCGGGAATCGACGATCACTTTAGTTGCGTTTGGTGTTGGCCCCATACGAGAAAGTGTCTCTTTTTCAACTGTAATCAATTCTGTGAGTGTCATGGATTATTCACTTGAAGGCATTTATCATTTTTTTGGTACTTTTTTAAATAAAAGTATCATGGACCGAAAATAAGTGTTATGGATTGAATAAAAAATCACTATGAAGGCAGAGTCCAAAACATATGGGTTATATAAAATTTATGGTTTCTCAAAGATCATCGCGGGTAAGGTATAAATCTTTGTTTAATAAGTTTTATTTTACGTTCACAAAATATTTTTTTTAATTGTATTACGAAATGGGGATTACATGAGATTCCTTGATTTTATCTCACTATACTCAAAGTATACTTGCATACTATAGCTAAATAAAACTTGAAGACGAATACTTTTATGTTGTATTAGGGGACATCTTATACAGAGAGACTTTGCTGCCTTCGAATCGAAATACTTCTTTAGCAAAAGTTTAATGATTCTTGGCGAGCTTTAGTTTAGTTACATTAGGGTGGTAGAAAGTTAGATATGGTGGATAAGCACTAGAACGTGGTACTTGGGGTCAATGACCTTCGATCTAAACAATGTGAAGAAAGTCCAGGCATCAACTCTCCTATTTTAGTAAGCCGCCGTTACAACTTAAAAATATTCAATTTATCTACCTCACTTTACCCTATTATGTGAGAAGAAAGCAACGCACTCCAAGAATTTGTTCATTAAACAAATAAAGCTTCAGTCCTGAAGTTTTATCTTCTGATTGAAAAAAAAACTCAAAAAATAACTCTTAAGCTGGGATCCCACGATTGCCGCAATACACCAATTATTGCCTCATTTTATGCCCCAATCATGTGATTTCACAATACATTGACTCATGCGGCAATAGAGGCCGATATTGTGCTTACTGTGCCCAATCAAATAGGCCCGTGTGCGGCAATCGTGTGATAGCTCGATTGGCAATCATGGGGCAATGAAAATTTCAAAATTGCGGCAATATTTATTGTATTCTTGTGCGGCAATTGAAGTGAACAATACACATCAATATTTAGGCTGTTTATTAATAATTTACTTTTTTGCTTCCTTATGTGTCCAAAAATCAC